CATGAATAAAAGCAAGCGCGTATCCGCCGGCAGATTTGCTACGGACACGTGTATTGCAATTCTGCCGGCAGATTTAACAGCATGGCTTAAATGAATGCAAGTACACAGCTTCCACCAGATTTCTTTCAGTGATGCAATTATACCAGTAGAATTAATAGTAATTGGTGTGTTCTGAATGAAAGCAAGCGCATATCTGCCAGCAGATTTACTTAAGCTCGTGCAATTCTGCCGGCGGCTCTCCCCAAGGAGAGCTCCGATTTCTCCTAATGTAATATTTCAAAATGAAATTTCAATACAATTTTTTTGTGTTGTTATGTCCCGTGACCTGTACTAAGCCACACATTACCTGTGCGGTGGTAGCCTTCCGTGGGAAGTACCACGAGTCTTCGACACGTCCGCTATCTCCGCCGCGTGTGCGTGCGATGCACGCATGCACCATGCATACAGTAGCCGAGCAGCTTTGGCTAGCGACAGTTTCATCCCAGAAAACCAAGTATTAGTTAATATACTCAAACTTACCTCCCTTTCGTCATCGTGGCATTTCTTGCGGCAGCACCGCCAGTGTTTCGTCTTCCCGGAGACTTTTAAACGCATCGGGCGCTGGCAGCCTGGACAATACATAGCGCTTTCTAGAAGTCCTGCTTGTTGCCACCACGCTACAGCCCCAACCTCGTCGCTCGTCGCCTCAATGATTGAGGTGAAGGTGAAGTGCTCCACGTTGTGGAGAGCATAGTGATGGCTGGTTGCGCTAGTCATGATACGGAGGGAGGCTGGCAGAGTCTGGTGCGGTGCGAATACTTTGCAAAGTGAGGGAGTAAGCGTGCTGGCTGAACGCGTGGCAGGGAGGGAACGGGGGCATTCTTGCGTTTACATACAAATGGCTAGTAATTTGTTTTTACATACATCGTGTAAATGTCGTCGAAAACGGGGGCGTGACCCTGTTATTTGCCATTTTGAGTCGTGAGCAAATCTTGTGTGACGCACACTGGTCAAATCACAAACTATGAAAATTTCATTTTGAAATATTACAATAGGAGAAAACGGAGCTCTCCTTGGGGAGAGCCCTGCCGGCACTAGTAGCAGCGTGGCTTAAACGAAAGGAAATGCATATCTGTCGGCGGATTTGGGCGGCTTGGCTAGTATGCGATTGTGATAATGATAATGGGCTGCACAAAACATTAGAACAATGAGCTATGCAAGCGGGTAGTATCATGTAAGTATTTATTGCACTTTTAAGTTTTGGCTCTAATGGCTCTTAATATATAATTGCATTTTTTTAACAACATAGGGTTGGATCACTTTTGCATGTTACCATGTGGAATGCGTGAAGAATAGATCCCGCTCTATGTGTTCTGTGAAAATGACGCTCTCTCTGTAATTTTGCAATTTTTCCTCTGTGAAAAAGTGTTTTTGTCTTTCAACGATGACGCCGAATGGGCAAATCCTGAAGATTCTTCTCGCTGCTTGCTAACTCCAAATGTTTGCGCTGTTCGAGTCCCGTATGCGTTGCTCCAGTAAATAAGATCGAACCAGGGTGAGATGGTAACTGAAGCTGAGAAATATTTCGCAATGTAGCTGAAGGAGTTGGCTGATCTCGTGGGTAGTACAGTGTTCGATGTGCAGCCATGGCAGTCGTGGGGGATGTTCGGTGCTTGCTTTTATGCAGTAATAATCATGCATTGAGGGTACTGGGACACTCGGCAGCCACA